CCACAACATTGTTCAGTAAATGTTACTTGACAGTGGTGTATAGAAGACATATGAATACCAGAAATAAACGACATTATAACACCAAAATGTTGTTTTTATTTAATTAGACACTCAACGTTTCGCTTTACAGCTTTTTCAGGAGCGTTCACTAAAACGCAAACCGAAACGGACTTCAAATGGTTTAAATAATGAGTGTTATTGAAATTCTAATAGAAAAATAGCGAAAACTTGAGTGACTAGTTGAATAAAAACAACATTTCTGTGTTATAAGGTCGTTTATTTCTAGAATAAAGTACTGTCGTCACAACATTGTTGAGTAAATGTTATTTGATACTTAGAACGGTTGATAAGTTCCAACAATATCAAGTACTGTTGTCACAACATTGTTCAGAGTAACAGTCACAAGTTTCAAAAACTTAAGTGCAGCGTCACAAAGTCGGTCTTGAAATTGTAACTGTAGCAGTCGCAGGTTAGTTTCTAAACTATTACTGCGGCAGTTGCGAATTGGTCTCAAAACTGTAACAACAGTAGTTTTGGTCTCGAAACTGTAAATGTAGCAATCACCAGTCGGTGTAAGAAGCGTAACTATAGAGATTACAAGTCTCGAAACGAAAACGGCATTCATTCTTAGCTTATCATAAGAAAACTTTAAATTTGTTCAACTACATTGCGATCTTATTTTTTGCCTAATTTTTCATGAAAATTCATCTTGATAGATACGTCTTGTTTCAAATTTATTTCAATGCCAAGTACTTGAAATTATTATTCACTATCACCTTTTCGTCACTAGATGGCAATGCTAACGAATTTTGAACTTAGAACAACCGAATCTATATAGTTAAAAGATTAACGTGTGCGCGTGCGTGGGAAGCTTTTTAAACTTCAATTAACTATGCAAAAATGAAATTAGAAGTAGGGAAGTACGGAAGACGTCACCATATGTGTAATGGAGTGGTGGGTGTAGATAGTACTATACATAGCAAAAGGAAATGTATTTGGGGAATGGATCTGTATGGAGCCCCATTTCAGACAACAATATTCATGTGTTAGAGATTTTTAAAGTACCAGTACTTTCACCCTGTTGAGTAGGGACCTGGGAGCAATAAGCAGTATCACCCAGTTTTAATAATTGCTCGCGATACTTAGGTTTTACAAGAGTCGGTAGATCTTGCGTCTCTTACTAGCTAAGTTGATCGATTTGCCATTTTTGTTTTGTTTGGTGTTAGCACGTGCTATGAAATAAACTTAACCTCGCAGTCATTGAGAAGCCCTGAATTGCCATCAGATTCGTTCAGAAATCTATGTACCTAACCTCGTACGTTAATAGTGTAGGCAGGTCACTTAATTGCTTTAATTACTTTAAGTACACAGCACTGCTTTATATTTCATAAATTTTGTGCATTCATACACAAAATACCACAACAACAACAAAAAAGTTTGTTTGTTTTAAGTTAAGCACAAAGCTACACACCCGAAACCCGATTTCTAGCGTTGTAAGTCCGCAGACATTCCGCTGTGCCACTGAGGGGCCCAAAAAATGTTTTGTACGTAAAGCACGAGTTCCCTCCCCCCCTCTAGTAACAGAGTAAAATATTATTGTAAATGTACTTTGTCAGGTTTTTACGAATGTGTGGGCCGGATTCTTTACACTAGGTGTCTGTGACTTGTTGTCGATAAATTTCAAAAATAAACAAACAGCACACAGTTCACTTGTTTTAAAATAAAATATTAAAACAAATCAAACGTATCTACAAATATTCGTTACACTGTTGGTCATCACAGTTGTATCCAGAGCTTTAAACAATCGTCTCTTTTCGTCAAAGTTCACACGGGCTGGTTCAGTTACTTTAGGACACAATTGACAAGACTAATTATTCTTCTCTACTCTGTTGTTACAATACAATCTGCGATAATCTCACTCAAAAAAGCGCCACCATACGCTCCTTACTGCTAAACTTACAAACACACATTTTAGATCTATTTGACTATATGTCTCAATAACTTTGCCTAACTTGAACTACATTTTGGACGCGTATTTGTAAATTGCTCTACTGAGACCGAGAACTTTCCACGCCCTGCGATATACTATGATGTAATAAACTCGAGAAAAACTTGGAGAAGGTTCTAGTAACATGACGCAATAATACAACAATCTCCAATTTACGACAGTTGAGCTACGAAACGCAAGATTCGCACAATTAGGTGAACAAACCTTCGATAAACTATCGCTTTTAAAAATAACTAAATTTAACACTCGCGCTATACTTAAATTAAAACAGTTGTGTATGGCTAACATTCTTTGATATTTATTATAACAAGGCTTACTTTCAGTTCTCCAGTTTCTAAACGATATAATGATATCATAGTGTTCATATTATAGATTAAATACGAATGGTTTTAAAAATTATTAAAATAATACGAGATCCTTTTTTGCATTTGTTTTTACGTTATTTATGTATTTTTGCTACGAAAATGATTGCGTTTTTTTATTCTTTTAAATAATATTTGACTATTTGTATAAAAGCTACATAAAATGTTCTACTGAAAATAATATGCTAAACAAGAACTCATTATTTATATTTACGGACTTACAACTCTAAAATACGGGGCTCGATTTTCCGTAGTAGACATAGCGCACATAACACGTGTGGCTGCTTCGTGCGAAAAAATTTCAGTCAATCAGTGCTTTGCGGCTCTCCCGCTAAAATGATCTTGTGACCCCAGGGGTGGGGGTGGCAAAATCAAGGGACGATGGACCCTTCTTCAAAGTTATGTAATTACAGTCAAGCCCCCCCCCCCAGTGGCACAGCGGTATGTCTGCGGACTTACAACGCTAGAATCCGGGTTTCGATAGCCGTAGTGGGCAGAGTACAGATAGCCCATTGTGTAGCTTTGTGCTTAATTATAAACAAACAAATTACAGTCAAGAGAATACTATAACTTTTAATAAAGTATGCATATCTTCACGAAACTTTGAAGATTATCAGTAAACATTACAAGGCTTTCGTATACAAAATATCAGATATTTCTATAAAGTTTTAATATTTTTTGAAGTAATGATTTGCTCGTGCATTTTTTTTTCGAATGTTGGCTGTCCAACATGCAGAGTAATTTTGATTTTAAAAATACTTTTATGCATCAGAAAATTGTCAAAGTTCACATATAACCTCCTAATAACCTCAAGATAATTATCAAACGTTTCTGTTCAGAGAAAAAACTTTTTTATTTTATCTGTTATTTTCTCTATTGTATCTCTGTAAGGGTTTAGTTGATCTGACCGACCTTGTAAACAACATAAAAAAATTAGGAAATAGATATCAAATATGCTTTTTTTCATTCAGGAATAAATACAAATTATAACAAGAAACCACAAATGTTAACCCTAAGAAGAATGCACCACGTAGTGTGAAGTTTAGAATACGCCTCTGAATATAATCGTTTTGAAAAGCATAATTTGAGTGTTTATGATCTGATGTCTTCCAACGAAGTAAATCGACAGCTTGTCAGCATGTCTTCCCCGAAAGCTAAAACTGAAGTAACTTGCTGATAACAAGCGTATTACATATGACCTGGCCCATGTGTATTATATCGGCAGGAGGTTGACCCTGACCACGCTGCCTCAGATGTCGGGAAGACAGAGTCGGTCCCTTTGATGACCTGAGTGACTATTGCCATGCCCATTTAACGTGAAGCCACTGTGGTAGCGACATTTATCAATATTTAGCTATAGGGTAGGTACCTAGAGATTTTAAGTAAAGCTGCTGTCAAACCTGGTGACGTATATTATTATTGAAAATTAAATGTAATAAGTAATATGAAATTGTGAAGTGAATAAAAAACATTTAAAGTTCATATTCATATACTGAATGAATAACGCAAGAATTATGTTTTTCATTTTCCAGGAAGAAGGGGGCAAGTGCCAACCCTTGCACCCCATGCGTAGAAGGGTGTATAAATATAGAATCACTTTCTGCTGGTGTTCTTTTCACAGCAGCAGGTTATTACAGAATTAAAAAACCATTGCGAGGAAAAGGAAACAACAGCTGCAATGATTTTAGAAATTTAAAAAACAACAGAATATAAAAATGCATGTTGTCATAGAATTTTCTGATACGCATATATTTTCTTGTTTGTGAGATTTTAGAAATAAAAAAAAACAACAGAATATAAAGATGCATGTTATCAGAGAATTTTCTGCTAAGCATATATTTTCTTGTTTGTGTGAGATTTTAGAAATAAAAAAAAAACAATATAAAGATGCATGTTGTCATAGAATTTTCAGCTACGCATATACTTTCTTGTTTATGTGAAAAATTATTGATTTTTTTTTTGCTTATCTAGCATGCCCCTCCCCTCCCCCCGCAACTGCGGGTACCTAAACAAGGCTTTGACCGTTATGTATGGTAACCATTGAATTAAAACAGTTTATACTGAATCTGTACGCGCCCTCTAGTGGGTCAACGGCAAGTTTGCAGGTTTTCGACGCCAAAAATCGGGGTTCGATACCCATGATAAGCAGAACACAGATAGCCCATTGTATAGCTTGGAATGTAAAAAAAAATGTGCTTGCCAGCGCTATCTATAAGACAATCAGAAGTTCAAGGGAATTTAAATCAATGTGATACATTTATTATAACAAACTGCCAAGCTCATTCGTGAGAGTTATTACTTCAGGATATGGAACCATTTTTAATGTAAGTGAGTTAAGTTATAGTTTTTATTGATAACCAAAATTTATAACTCAATGCTTGTGTGTATAAAGAAAAAAGAACATGGAGTTGGAGCTGGAACAGATAAAAGAACGACCCCAAAAGGAGCGAGAGTCTCGGAAGTTGAAGAACAAAGGCAATGAATTAACTTTAGATGTACAGAAAAGAAGAGAAAAATATAAAGTCCTCCAGCGTACTAAACCACACGTGAGTAACTTTAACTTGAAGCGCACTTACGTGTTTTTATTTTAAAACCAGTCTTAAACAACAAGAAAGAAACAAATAAAAAATCTTCAATATACTCTAGGCTAAATAGTCGTATCGGATTATTCCAATAACCATATAAGATTGCAGTTAGAAACATTTTTAGTAAATTATGCTTATGTTATTTCAAATTTAATACATTTATTCAAATTATTTAGTTATTTTATTATATGTAACATGAAAGAAAACGTGAAAAAGATAAAATATACCGATTGTTTTCATTAAAACTTAAGGGATAATGTGAATGCTGAATGATTTCGCTGAGGCTAAATAAGGGATAGTGTGAATGCTGAATGATTTCGCTGAGGCTAAATAAGGGATAGTGTGAATGCTGAATGATTTCGCTGAGGCTAACTAAGGGATAATGTGATTACTGGTTGATTTCGCTAAGAAATAATAAGGGATAATGTGACTGCTTATTGATTTCACAAAGGTTTAATAAGGGATAATGCGCCTTCTGATTGATTTCTTTAATATATATTAAGAAGTGATGCGACTATTGATAGAATTATATCAAAATTAATAAGATATAATCTGACTGCTGAGATATTTCACTAGAACGTCAACAGTCACACTATCCCTTATTATAATTTCACTATGACTTTATAAGTGATAGTGTGACTGTTGATAATTTCACTATGACTTTATAAGTGATAGTGTGACTGTTGATAATTTCACTGTAACTTTATAAGGGATAGTGTGACTGTTGATAATTTCACTAGAACGTAATAAGGGATAGTGTGACTGTTGATAATTTCACCATGACTCTATAAGGGATAGTGTGACTGTTGATAATTTCACCATGACTCTATAAGGGATAGTGTGACTGTTGATAATTTCACTATGACTTTATAAGGGATAGTGTGACTGTTGATAATTTCACCATGACTTTATAAGGGATAGTGTGACTGTTGATAATTTCACCATGACTTTATAAGGGATAGTGTGACTGTTGATAATTTCACTGTAACTTTATAAGGGATAGTGTGACTGTTGATGGATTTCCATTTCCGAGATTTGCAGCCGAGAGAATAAAACGTGTTTTCAGCCATGTCCTTTTCCACCCATTTTTAATCTCCCTCTGCGACTTTTCCAGTATCTCCGGTCATCCTTGACGAATTACCCCGCAACTTCTCCCTGCGCCTACATCGACCGTTTTAAACCTAGAGTATCCATCCATCCAACGAAGACGAGAATCCTTCGACGGGGAGGAATTTTTCTCCAGCCCTAAAGCCACGATGACTTACCACATTTTTGTAGTCCCTGGAACTTCTTTCCACATGTGACCTACTCAATCTCTGAAATCAAACGCACCTTTCCACACTTTTCCTCCGAGGCTTCGACTTTACCATCCAATATTTCCTTGAACAATCGGCCAACACAAAGTTACACACAGTTCACTAGATCCGCTCCTGACTAATTGGCAAAACTACTCAATTCATGCAGATCATCACACTTTCCAAACCAATCACGAGTACTATTTTCAATACTTTCACTTCAAAGCCATAAAAGCCTTACAGGAACAATCGTCGACAAGCCTCGTTACTTACAGCCCCATCAAATATTCGAAAATACCTCAAGCTGTCAACCTAAGTGCCACCACGCACTACTTCGCCCACAACCGACCAACTTACCCAAACAAGCCGAGAAATTTCCACTACTGACTTCCCGGAAACCAAAGATGCAACCACCACGTCACCAAATATTAGTACTTTTGCCACCCAGTCTACGCAACCAAACTCAACGCGAGAAGAAAATCCACGCAAACCCTACCACAATCAGTGGCCACCTTTGAACAACCTTCCCCAACGATTCCGGTCCCACACACCTATACATACTCTTTGATCCTACACTATCAGAAGACTATTACAGCGAACATGACGATTACGATAGTTCCTTTCCAAGCCTACAACGTCCTGACCACAAACTAATCCTCGTCTTTTCAACCACCGATTTTCTTTTCCATTCCGGGTGTTTCTTCGGGCACGGCAAATGTTTTCGACGCCTTGTCCATGAAGGTGGGTTTTTTCTGGGCACTCCCATAATCAAATTTCTCCGCCATTGGATTTATAGATCCCTGCCACTCTGAAGGACCCTAAGTTTGATTTGATTTGAGAATCTCCAAGTTCTGGATCTCCAACATTCACAGTTTCTGACTGCTTGAGGCACCTGTGTTAATCACAATGGCTCATGGGAAGTCTGTTACGTCCACGATTTTTTTTTTCGCGAAGCGTTTCCATTAAACCAAAGCCGAGAGTGGGGCGAAGAGGGGTCACATGACATCTGAACACTCATGGTTTTAATAAAATCTAAATTTCTGCTACCATAGATAGATAGATAGATAGATAGATAGATGATGGATTTCAGTAAGGCTTAATAATGGATAGTGTGACTGCTGATAATTTGACTAATCCTCTCTATAGAATATACGAGAAAATGTAAATGCTGATTGATTTCACAAAGGCTTGATTAGGGATAACGTGATAGCTGATTCATTTTACTAAGACTTGTTAACGTATAATGTAAATGCAGGTTGTTTTCACCAATGCTTAATTAGTCTTAAAGTGATTACTGATAGATTCTGCTAAGACTTAAAGGATAATGTGACTGCTGATTGATTTCACTTTGCCTTAATTGGGGATAATGCGTCTGATGATTGTTTTCACTAAAGCTTCATAAAGAATAGTGTGAATGTTGATTGATTTTATGAAGACTTAATGAAACGCTTACTAAGGGATAATATGACTGCTGATAGATTTCACTGAAACTTAAAAAGTTAGAATGTGACTGCTTATAACTTTCACTACGACTTAATAAGAGAGAACGTGGCTGCTGATTGATTTTACTAAGAATTAATAAGGAATAATTTGACTGCTCTGATTTTACCAAGGCTTGGTAAAGGATAATGTGTCTGCTAATTTATTTTACTAAGTCTTGATAATGGATAATGCGACTGCTGCTAGATTTCACTAAGGTTTAATAAGGGAA